CCTACAATATGCCGCTATCCCCAGTCCAGGGGGCAAGGAGGAGGGGCAGCTGACAATCTGTGGCTGCCCTAGGTCTGGGGGGTGGCAAGGAAGAGGGGCAGCTGAGGATCTGTAGCTGTCCTAGGTCAGGGAAGCGAGGAGGAGAGAGTTTGTTTGCAATCATTGTTCCAACCTATTTTTTTATAAGTCTGTTGACATTCTCCATTTTTTCTTGAGCCAAGTAATTTTTGTAATTCAAGGAATTTGTCCATTTCTTCTAAGTTTTTAAATTTTATATGCAATTTTTCATATTATCACCACAATACTTCTGTCTCTGTAAGGTCTGTGATAACATCTCCACCTCCATTTTTTTTTCATTTTAGTTATTTGAAATTTCTGTTTTTCCTTATCAGTCTAGCTGATGCTTTGCCAATTTTGTTCATCTCTTTGGAGGTCCAAGTTTTGATTTTACTTATTTTTTGTTTTTCTATTGTCTTTTTTGTTTGTTTGTTTTTGTTTTTTGACACAGTGTCTTATTGTGCTGTTTAGGCTGCCTTTGAACTATGTAACTCAGGGTTGTCTCAAACTCACAGTGACCCTCCTGCCTCAGCCTCCCAGGTAATGGGATTACAAGTATGAGCAATCACACCAGGCTATTATCTCTTTTGTTAATTTCTGCTCCTTGTTTCCTTCTTTCTCCTTAGGTTGCATCTAGTTTGTTCCTCTCTTTATAGTTTCTAGGAGTATAAACTATTGGTTTTATACCTTTATTTATTTATTTATTTATTTATTTAATTTATTGTTTTTGAGATAGGGTCTAGGGTCTCACTATGCAGTTTGGGCTGGCCTTAAACTCACTTTATAGCCCAGGCTGGTCTCAAACTTGCAGTGACCATCCTACCTCAGGCTCCCAAGTGCTGGGATTACAGGCATGAGCCACCACACCTGGCTGTATCTTCTTTTTTAATGTAGACATTTATACTATAAATCTCCCTTTGAGCATTGCTTTTACTAGAATAGGGTTAGGGTTTGGGCAAGTTATGATTTCATTTCATCTTTATGTATTTTATAATTCTGCTTGTATTTTTTTTCCTTTGACATACTGGTTGTATATTATTATTGTATCATTTTCATTTATTGAACCTTTTAAAAATACGTGTCTTTTTCTCTTATAAGCTTTTTTAACTTAAAATATATTTTGACTGGTATTAGTATTGCTGCTCCAGCTTTCTTTTGGTTATTATTTGCATGAATTATCTCTTTTTTTGTCTTTTTCCTTTTTATTGGTACCGGGGATTGAACTCACGACTGCCTGAATTGTCTCTTTCTACTCCTTTTACTTTTGATTTATTTGTATCTTTGGATCTGAGGTGAGTCTTTTAGAGATAGGATATAGCCGGATCACATCTACACCTGGCTAGATCCCCAAGGTTTTTATTTGTGATAGGTTACTTTTCTCTTGCTGGTTTTAGCTTAAATTATTGCCATTGTCTTTCAACAGATTGGTTGTTGTGTCTCAATGTGGAAGCCTTTAATTTTATTCTACTTGAAGTTCATTGAGCTTTTTGTATTTATAGATTCATATCTATCATCCAACTTGGGAATTTTCAGCCATTATTGCTTCAAAAAAATTTTTCCCTTTCTCTTCTTTCCTTCAAAGACTCTCAAAATTCATATTAATTTACTTAGTGGTCTTTCACAGGACCCTTAAGGTTCATTAAGTCTTATTCATTTTTTTGTAGTTCCTGAGACTTAATCTTTTTAATTGTATTCAACTACCTTATTTTCACTGTTTTTTTTTCTCCTCTGCTCAAATCAGCTCTTGAATTTTCAAGATTTTTTTTGCTCCAGAATTTCCTTTGATTCCTTTTCATAATTGTAGTTAGTTTATTAATATTCTCATTTTGCTTTGTGTGTGTTCTAATAGTTCTTTTACATCTTTAAGACGTAAGTCTTTGTCTAGTTACTCTAATGTTGGTGCTTATTCATTTTGTTTTTGTTCCTTTTCAATGGAGCATACTTTCTTCCTTCTTTGGGTATCTTTTTTTTTTTTTTCTTTTGATGCTGGGGATTGAACCCAGGGCCTTGTATATATCTCAAGAATTCTACCACTAAGCCACATCCCCACCCCTCCTTGTATATCTTGTAATCTTGTGATCTCTCTCATCCTGGACATTTGAGTATTGCAAAACAGCAACTATTTTTTGACTGATTGAACTCATGTCGTGGAATATACTCTGATGCGAGTTTAAGGTCTTCTGGGGTCATTCTAATTCTGTGACTTTCCCTGGATATGTGTGGCAACTTCTTATATCTCTGATGTATATAGTTGTTTTTACACGTCCTAATCTTTAAGTGGCTGGCTTCCCCAAAGGGAGAAAAATGCGGGAGTAAAAAGGCAGTACAGTTTTAAGTTTCCTGAAAATTTCTTCAGGTCATGAGGGTTGCAACAGTGGTGACCAAAAAAAAAAAAAAAAAAAAAAAAAAACATTGAACACAGCTGTTTGCAGTCTCCCTGTTTGAATGTCCACCTTGTGTTCTTTGATACTGTGATTTGAGGAACTATTTTCAAGAAAATAGTGTGTAATCTACTAGCAGGTAATTTCTTACTGTTATGGTTTTTTGTTTTGTTTTGTTTTGTAGTTCTGTATTGCGTGTACCCTTACGCCGCTTTGGTTTGTTTTGTGTTTTTCTCTTTTTCCTCTTAAATAAAAAAAAAAAAAAAAAAAAAAAAACCAGTGGTGACCAGCCTCTGTGGCAGCTGAGATTTTTCTCATGGAAGTTTTCAAGTTTTAAAGACGCCGGAGTTCCAAAAGCATTTCTTAAGACAGTTTTGGCCAGTGTAATTGTTGCTTAGGTTCAAAAGTAAATTCCTGGTGCTTTGACTCAACTTCTCTATCATCACTCTTTCGTAAAGATCATTCTCCATCCACTCTGGTAAGGGGAACCAAGGAAGGAAGTGGTTCAAAAGACCAGGAGAATGATTCTTAGATCTGAGTTTTGTGAACCTGGACAAACCTTCAGACTATCAGAATAAAAACTAGGCTATCTTATTTGGACAAACTTTTTGCCTTACTTGGAGGTACTCTTGAGAAGTGAACTTCCTATACTCCTGTGATTTGATGCACTAAAGGTAAATCTTACCTTTTCAGGGGTTAGTTTCTTTTGGCTTGTCTTCAGTTGCATGCAGACAAGTTTGGGGTTGGTGCACAGAAGGTAACCCTCTCCTACTCCTTAGAGTGTTCCCTTGGCAAGGATACTCAAACTGTCTTCAAGAGAATCACAGGAAATGCTTGTTCTCCAAAGACTATTTGGGCAGTGTGAAGATTAAGATTAATTGTTAATTTGACAAGAATTAAGTCATTGCTGTTTGTTATGGTTTGTGTCTAGATTCCCCCCCCCCCCCAAGCATCATGAAGTTTTAGTTTTTTTCAGAGGTTGGGTCTAGAGTTTGTGATTGATTCAAGGTACAGTGCTGGGATTAAGGGTGTGAGTGCTACACCTGCCCTAGAGTAGGTAGCCTGCATACAATATAAGGGCTGGGAAGTGCTCTCTCTGTCTCTCTGTCTCTGTCTCTGTCTCTCTTACTCTTTCTCCCCCTCCCTCTCCTTTCTTCCTTTTTCCCTCCCTTCCCCCTCCTTCCTTTTTCTATCTTTCACCATCATGAACTGTTACCCCTTGGCCATGCCACCCTGCCTTGAAGCCAGATGATTATGAACTGAAACTTCCATAAACTGTGAGCTAAATAAACTTTTCTCCCTTTAACTTTGGGTGTTGGGTATTTTGTCTCAGCAATGAGAGGAAACCACTGTTCACAGCTGAATGTGCTATTAAGAAGTGAGTCATTGGGGAGTTCCTTTTGAAGGTTTCTCTCTTACTCTACTGGTCCACTGGTTTCTGTCTCCTAAGCACCATGAAGTGAGCAACTTGCCATTCTGCCATAGTGTTCCTGCCATGGAGCCAGCCTACAATGGACTGAAATCTCTGAAACTGTAAACCATCCCCTTAAACACTCAAAAGTAGTATATGTCAGTATGTCAGACATCTTGCGCACGGTGTTTGAAAGCTGGCCAATACAGGCAGCGGCCACAATAATAAACCTTAAAGTAGAATGTGTAGCCCTCTAAGGCAGAAGATCTACAGGATCCTGCCTTATCTCAGACAGCAGTGATTTTCTGTGCTTCTTTTTTGCCTCTAATCCATCTATGTTTGTTGAGATATTTGCACAGGTTTCTTACAGGAATTTATTGCTAGAAGCCTCACTTGAACCTAGCACATATATATACAAATATGTATGAACGTTGTACAAGTAGTCCCTACACAGGTGATTCTCAAACCTTGCTGCTCATCAGAATCACTCAATAAACTTTTCCCAAGTCTTGATTCCTATCTTCCAACCACAGAGATTGTTTCCATAAGTCAACCTACATTCTTTAAAGGCTACTTGAGTCATTTCTGATATGCAGCTAGTCAAAGTATTTGGAGCTGGAAATGTAGCTGAGCGGTAGAATAGTTGCCTAGCATGTACACACCCTGGGTTCAGTCCCTAGCTTTGGAAAAAAAAAGTCTATGAAAGGTTTATACTTTCCAAGTAAGTTGCAGTTTAACTAGTTTTGGAGTTTTACGACTGGGTTCCAATTCTACAGCAACTACTTCCTAGCTATCTTTAGGCAGATTACCTAATCTTTCAGCGTTTCAGTATCTTTGACTATAAATAGGAGTTACGGGTTTATTGTGAAGATTTATATCAAGCCTTGGCACTCTAATACAATTAACATTGCCTGGATTATGACTGGCCACCAGATTCATACAGATGCAGTCTACTAAAGCGCCCCTTCTCCGGTGGACTTTTGGGAGACTAGGGTGGGGCTGGGGTGTGCTCTTGGTCGCGCCTGTCATACGAAGGATCCAAAGATCTCCCAACTGGGGAGGGCACTACACACACGCTCGCAAGCTGACAGCACACAGGCACCAGGGGCCGCTCGCGCTCGCTGGGCTCCCGCGCAGATAGGCGGTGCCCCGCGCCTGCGCACTCGGAGCTGGAGCTGCGCGCTTCGCGCTTCGGAAAGTGGGGGCCCTCTGCGGCCTTCTGCGTGGTTCCCCAACCCACCCTCAGTCTCTGGGCGCGGGACAGACTCCAGTCCCTCCACGTCTACGAACCGTGCAAATCTGAGGCGGCCAGTATTCACGTCTCTGCTGTGCTACAGCCGGCGTGGTTGTCGAGCCGGCCAGGGCCTGGCTTCCGACGCGCAGCAGCTGCTGCCTGCATGCTGCGCTGGCTGATCGGGGGAGGCCGCGAGCCCCAGGGCCTGGCCGAGGTGAGCGCCGGCAGCCACTGCTCAGCGGAGTAGGGCAGGACCGGGCGGTGCGCGGGCTGGGGGCGGGGTCGTCCGCCCTGCTGGAAGGGGCCGGGGTTGAGGTCTGAAGGGCGGGGGTACGGGGGCACCTACGGGTCCGGGCAGACAACCCGCGTAAGTTTAAGACGCTGAATGCATCTGTGCGCCTGGTTTGTTTGAACTGGTACCTTTCTTGGCATCACCTGATACTTGGTTGCTTATTCAGCAATCAAAAGTCTGGAAAATGATTTTCTAATGAACTTATTTTTGGTTTCATGATCACCCGTCAGGGGCCTGATAATTGGATAAGCCTTTTGTGTAATGAGATTTGCATAGAAAATATGAATAAACTAATTTGCCACCTTAAAAATATTGAGGTCGGAATTTATTTCACATGCCACACAAAACTAGAATTGTTTCTCATAGGAAGTAGGTCTTTTGACTGAGTGAAAGGTCGAATTGTAAGCAGCTTAACTTCTCAGTTTTGACTTCCTCATCATATCTTTGCAGTTGATAGTCCTTTTTCCCCCCTAATTTTCTAACTGTATTCTAATTTAAGCAGTGGGTCTCAGTCTTAGGGTGATTTTGCCCTTCAGAGGCCATTTGCATAGAGACGACCCCCCCCACACACACACTCCGTTGAATCCAGGGCGTTTTCTCGGTGTGGCTTACAGGGATGGGGTGAGTGGGAGAGTGTTCTCTGTGAGCATTAGAAACACCAGGGGTGCGGGTCAGTTTGCTAAAATGCACAAGATAGCCACAAAATGTTAGTAGTACGAAGTTTGAGAAACCCCTGCTTAGAAAATGGTACTGAGTTTGACCCAGAAATGGGGTTAATAGGGCCTGGCTTACAGAATTAAGTTGCATAGCATGTGTGCTTGGCACGGTGTCTGACACATGGCGTGCCATGTAATACTGTGCTCTGTGAATGTTTGCATTCTTTATCAGTACTGTTTATCTAGAGAAGAATTCATGAATCCGAATAGTTTGATTCCTTTTTTTCATGGAGCACACATTTATCGAATGCTGGTAATAGGCTATTTTAGTCTATATTTTACTGCTTTGACTGGCAATTTTATTTCCAACAAGTTTTAACTGAGAAACACTCATTCTAAACTAATTGAGCTGGATTGGCCCATTAATTTTTAAGATCAAGTTTATGAAGATTAAATATATATATATAAAATAAATTCACGCTTTATAAATTTATTATGACTTAAAAATACTAAAATTTATGAATTCGTGGTCAGGGAAATGTTTTCCATAGAACTGCAGTTATTCAGTTGATATTGGGGAACTAATAGCTAGTAGTAGAACATATAAGTCTTGTGGCTTTTGAAGTCTTGTATGCAGCTGTGTATCCTTACCCCTGTCTCTTTTTTGCTTTTGCCTGTTTTTCCCTCCATTACAAGAAATCTCCATTACAGACAGTAGGTGAAGAACAGTCCCGGAACCCCTACACAGAGCTGCTCGTGCTGAAAGCCCACCATGACATCGTGCGGTTTCTGGTGCAGCTGGATGGCTCCAGGTAAGAGGCACTAGTTCTCTCACTGGCCAAAATAAACCTGCAGAGAATTTCTAGGGAATTCTATATTTAAAACAAGTTCAAAACCCATTTCTAAAAACTTAAAAACTGATCATTAGTAATTGAAGAAACTCAACCAATATTTTAAAAAATGTACCTTTTAGTAGCAATTGAATTTGATTTCTGCAACTTGATAAAATTATGTATCTAAAATATTTTTTCTTTTTTTGCCCAGCATTTCATGTGGAGATTTGTGTATTACATTTGTTTTATGAATTAGAAAGTCTTATTAGTATCCACTGGTACCCACTAGGGATGTGCCATAGTAAGAATAAGGTTTTAATCTGAGGTTTTTATATTACTGATGAAATCTCTTTAAAATGTATGTTATTGTATATGTCCTCAGTAATGTGTATAATATTAAATTTAAAACACTTGCAAATGGAGATGAATACTTAGCTTATTTCCAATCAACAGTGTATATCTGTTACCAAGTTCTCGTTCAGCTACAACTTAAGTACTGTAATGTTGAAACTTTTAATATCTGTCTTCCCTTCTAGAATGTAACTTTCACGTGTGGGGCCATGTTTTCCTTATTTACCACAATATTAGTACCTAGCACTGTGTCTTACATTTACCAGACAATTATTGTTGAGTGAGTTTTCTCTGTTGCCTTTGGCACAATTTTTATTTTTTTTTTTAACTCCAGGAGTGATAGCTACTGTGGCTATTCCTTACTCTGCTCAGAACTTCCACTGTCTGTTGGCTTTGTTTTTTCACTGCTTTTTTAGGTCTTCGGCATTTTGTCACTTGTGTGTTGTGCTGTGTTGTTCTTACATGAAATTAGATCAGATTCCTCAGGTAAAGGGCACAGTCTTCTACTTTAGACAACCTTCACCGTAGACTCTGGCCACAATTTGGATTTCGGGGTCACTGACACGTCTGACCAGCTAGCTACAAGTTCCCACTGCCCCCTGAGGTTTGGTGGTTCTCTGGAACAACTCACTGAACTCAGTAAAGCACACAACTTGATGATTACACTTGTATCATAAAGCATACTTACCAGGACCAGCTAGATGCATAGGTGTAGGAGGTTATCACATGAAAGCCTTCTTGTCCTCAGGGTTCTCTGGACTCTTGGTACATTAGTTGGGTGCCTCTTGGGTGTTCAGAGTTTTTACTGGGGCCTCATTGTATAGGTGTGGTTGTGTGGAATCCCAACTATATAATTTGAGCTCATTCTTAAATCTCTCCTCTCTCATGCCCCAGCCTGAGAGCTTGGGAGCTCAGTCGGATATCCTGTGATAGTAGCACAAAGCCTCCTAATCCTATGGTTCATCTTTCCAGACTGGCCAGCTCCCCTTCTCAAATTATCTTGGAGCCCAGAGTGAGTCATCTGTTAGCATCAGCTTAGGTGTGGTCTGAGGGACCCACCATGAGTAATGAAGACGCTATCACTTAGAGCAGGGGTGGCAAACCTATGGCACACATGTTATTGTGCTTTTCTTTGAAGACTAGAGGTATTAATACATGAATTGTTTTTTCTAAACTGAAACCTGAGTATTCAGGTTTAATTGTGGTGTTGGCACTTTGCAATAAATAAGTGGGTTTTGGGATGCAATTTGGCACTGCTCCCTAAAAGGTTTTGCCATCTCTGGGTTAGAGGCTCCCTTCTAGATATCAGTGACAAAAGCTAACAAAATTATTAATCACTGTGTTTCCCAACTGTTTCTTGAAAGATTTATCTCCTATCATATATAATGTGTATCGTATGATCTCTCATCCAATATTATGTATAAGTAGACTGTCAGCTGTTACCTTGTTGTGGTAGGACCTGAACAAATCACAGATGTTAAACGTAGTATTATAATCTTCAGGCTTATTTGATAGTATATGGTTTGGCACGTCCTTTGAGACACTGTTTATTTATTTAAATGGTCATTTCTGTGGGACACTAAACATTTCTGCAAAGGTAAGATTTTGGATTGCTAAAGATTTTTTGTGACACATTTAACCCTAGTAAGTTGCTAGATTAAAAAATCCAAATAATTTCTTACAATCACTAATATGTATGCCTGAAGGAATCCTAAAATAATTTTCTTTGGGACAGATAAGGAATAAATATATGTATTCTTTGTGGACTCAGTCTTTAAATTTCGTATAGATTGTTCAAGTCATTGCTGTTCTGTGTGTGAAGCGAGCTTTCGGCTGATTGTACTGCATAGTCGGAAGAAAAGACTAGCTTATAGAATCACTATCACTGAACAAGTGCTGATGGAGATGATTGCATTGTTCCTGCAGTGATGGTCATGTGTATAGCATTTGTTCAATGATAAAGTAAATATTCTATAAATAGTAAAAAACTGTAGATGAGTATATCAGTTATATGCTGCTCAGCCAGATATCATCCTGAACTTAATTTTTAAAACTCATACAGCCACTGATTGTTCAGCTTATTATTCTGCAGGATGATAGTTTAGGCTGGGCCTAACTGCATCTTTTCACCTGTGAGTCAAGCTCAGCTGGCCTTGGCTAGGTTCACTTATCTAGCTACAGTCATTTTGTGGATGGGTGGGGCTGGCTGGTTCCTAGTGGTCCTGGATGAGAGAATACCTTCTCTTCTGTGTAATTTCTCAGGTGCTTATTCATATATGATTGGAGTTCTAATATTTGCTGAAGACCAAGCCCTGAAGCAAGAACTTTCCAAGTGTCTGTTTGTACCATGTTGGCTGCCATTTCATTGCCAGAGATAATCAGGAGCTGGCACTGAGTAGGGAGAGAAATTCTACTTCTTGATGGGAGGAATAAGTAAGTCCTTTTGTAAGTGTGGGTATAGGAAAGGGACTAATTTGTGACCAGGTGCTCTCCACCACAGTGAATTTAAATATCTAGACTAGATGAAAAACCCTGCCTTTTTGCTTTTGCAGTACCATGATGATGTAATTTCACAAATCACATTTAATTATTTGTACTTGCTGTATCAAAATTTGCATATTTTAGAGAATTTTCCATTTGCAGACTTGTAGAACTTTAATCCATGATTTGCTTTAAAAACTTAATTGTGTAGTAGAAAAAATAAGGACTGAAAGAATCATTGGACATAAGATATAAAATGAACATGAAAACCTTTGAACTGTAATCATGGAAAAAACTAAAAGCAGAATGTTTTCACTCTAAAAATTTTTCACAGATTAATTGTGCATACTGATGGAGTGTTCTTACTTTTAATAGTTGAGATAGTTTAGACTTATCTTTTCCATTGTATATGTCATTATTAATCCATTGTAACATTACAAAATACCTTTTCATTTTTAAAATAAATTTTACATCATTTTGCTTTTTATGTTTTTAGTTTTTGTAGACATTATGTTCTGTTTTTTTGGTCAGCTGTTGTAATCCAAGTTTCATGCTCCATGTGTTTAGATAATATCATCTTATTGAAAATTTTGCAGAAGGATTTTCTTGTTTTTTCAGTGGCTCAGCTAAAATCAGTGAGTGGAAAATTTTCTCAGATTGGTTTTTGAAGATACCAAATAAATCCTGTATAACCTAACAGACAGCTGCCTTTTCTTTTCTTCTTTAGTATTTCTTGAACATGAAGTGAGGGTCATATTGATTGGGAGATCACTAAAGAAGGCTAAGCCTCAGCAAGAGTCTTCCAAAAATGGACTGTGATAAAATTGCATGTAATACTCTAGCATTTGACACATTAAACTAAGCTGAGTTCATAACACATTTTAAGAATAGCCTTCTCAGTTGCTCATTTGACCATTCCTTGCTCCTCTAGGAAATAGACAAGGTTATATAGGATGGTGCTCATGACTGGAAAAGAATCAGATGACCCATGAAGTGCCAGACTGGAGAAGAAAATGTATCTAAGTAGCTGGTGAAGCTCTGCATTTGCAAGAGAGTGAACAAACGCAGTATAGTTTGGTAATCCACTGACAAACAGTGCTCCGTCTTTAAGAAGATATTACAAAACTAACAATATTCTTTCTCATTTACCTTCAGAGACTAGAGATCAGCAGTCAAGATGGCTTAGGTCCTCTTAATTCCTGAGCTCCACTCTCTTAAAGTTAAATGTGTAAGACATTTATTAGAGAAAAATGCCTACGAAAGGAAGAGAAGAAGTAGGATTGAATGGGTGAGCTGTCTTAGCCCCTGATACAGATGTGACAGTCTCTTCCAAGCCCCTAGAATGCTTCAAAGGAAAGATTGCCTCTTAAAGGAGTTCTGTTCTGGGTAGAAATAATTAGGGCTTTATACTGCCATCTTGTGTATTCATTTGATGAGGGTCATCCAAGAATGTGTCCCTGACTTCTTTGTCTTGCTTAACTACCAGTTACTGGGTACCAACTGAGAATTTGACTTTGAAAAGCTGGAGTCAACAGCTGCAGGCATTTGAGGAGGTATATTCCTCACTGCTGGCCAACTAGTCCTCTCTTGAAAGGGAGTCTCGAAGGCACATCTTTGGGTCTTGCATGCTTTCACAGTTGTACGTTGGGCTATTTGCTTTGTAAATTGCATAAATATACTCATGTGGGCCATATCTTTGGGCAGCGGTTAAGAAACAAGTATGATGCTAGTTAATAGGTCTTCAGTGCTTAAAAAGTTAATGTAATTTTCAGAGACATAAAGGTAGTTGTGTCTGGAAACAGGAATAAGCAGGGTTGGAGATACAGCTTAGGGGTAGAGTACTTGTTTAGCATGTTTCACTCAAGTTCCAGCTGCCACACATACAAAATATAAGCCAAATCCTTTTTATGTGAATTTTAGTGACTAGAATACTACTAATTTTTCTGACTTTATATCTGGCAATTTTTTTAGTGTTTTAGTATCCATTATCACTTTGCATTTAGACATCTTGATTTATTATAATACATTTTGCTAAAATCTTTATGAAAAAATAAAACAACCCTATTTTAGCTCTGACATTCCTAAGTGACTACTTGTAGGAGTTTGTTCAGTTTCTGTTATTTATGGATAGATGTGATGTTTTGAGT